TCTCCTTGTCCGTGGCCGCCGAGCTGAAGGACTGCCTGGGGGACTTCATCGAGCACTATGCCCACCTGGGCCTGAAAGGCGGCCACGGTCACCGGCACGAGCACAGCAATGGCAAAGAGCAGCATCCCCGGAGGCGACAGCAGCACCCGCCGCCTTCGCCTCCGGTGTCTGTCGGCTCCGAAGAGCACCCTCACAGCGTCCTCAAAACGGAGTACATCGAGAGGGACAACAGAAAGTATTACCTGGACCTGAAGGAGAATCAGCGGGGACGCTTCTTGCGGATTAGACAAACCATGAGTAGGGGACCTGGCATGATGGGTTATTTCGGCCACAGCTTGGGACAGGAGCAGACGATCGTCCTTCCAGCACAAGGGATGATTGAGTTCAGGGATGCTTTGGTCCAGCTGATTGAAGAATATGGCGAGGGGGACATAGAGGATCGCCAGGGCGGAGGCGACGAGCCCCCGGAGCTCCCCGAGGGCACCTCCTTCCGAGTGGACAACAAGCGCTTCTACTTCGACGTGGGATCCAACAGGTACGGCATTTTCCTGAAGGTAAGTGAGGTGAGGCCACCCTACCGTAACACCATCACGGTTCCGTACAAAGCATGGACACGGTTTGGGGAAAATTTTATCAAGTACGAAGAAGAGATGAGGAGAATTTACAACAGCCATAAAGAAAAAAGAATGGATGCCAGAGGGGACAGTGGTGAAGAGCAAGAGGGTCTCGAATAGAGTGCATTGGACTGGCCGTCTGGCAAAATAAACAAAACAAAACAAGCAGAAATTGGTGAGAGGGACTGACCTATAGTAATTTCAAGTCGCCCCATTTTTTTGTAAAGTCCTTTTCCGGTAGTTCTTGCTAACTCCAGTCTGTAATGTTATAGGAGTCTGGTTATCACGTTAAATTACGCCCAAAACATCTCTGTCTGTCTTATGAAAGTACCGACCTCCCGAGTCCGTATGAGTCAGCTGCTTCAAGTGTTGAAGACTATGGAAGTACGTGTATCAGCACAAAAAAAAATCCGGCACTCTGACCTTTAAATAGTCTAGATAAGGCTTGTGTTGCACTTCAACGTGATACAAAAAAAAAGCCCCAAACCTTATGCTGAAATGTATCGGTTTCTGCTTATGATGGGTTTTCCGGGACTCAATTCTGCCTGTGCTCGGTCAAAAGGCTGAGCGGCATAGCCGTAGGGCATTTACGATAAAAATGGGCTTCATGTGAATTGCTGGTATGTGTATGAGGAGAGGTAGAGGTTTTTAAATTGGCATCTGCTGGTTATTGGGTTTGAAACGATATTCTGTGTGGGTAAAACCTCGATAACTGGTCAGACCTTTATAACGTGCTGGTGAAGAGCGGAAAATGTGTTATTCATTACATAGTTTTGTGCTGACCGAATAACCCGAGTATCCCAGGGTAGCGAAGCTCTACTCGAGTGCTAAGCCTTCTGAATTAATGGCAATGATTAATAACCCACTCCTCATCTACGTGTTCTGCCCGTGCAAGGCTGGTGTTTTGGTTTTTTTTTTATTCTTAATGCATTTGTCCAAAATTTCAAAAGGTTATTTTTGTATTAGGTGTGTATGGGTTCCAACAGGTGGCTGTGGAGCGGGTATTTGGAGGTGGAGGGACCGCCGCGACTGAGGCTCCCGGCTTCTCTTCCAAACGTGAGATTAATGCTGTTGTGATGTTACCCGTGCGAGGAAAACACCCGGGCGTTTTTCTCCTCCCTCTCCGAGAAAGACCTTTGGGGGGGTTTGGTGCACCGCTGGGTTCGTACAAAAAGGCATCTCTCCCATACTTACCTGTAGCGCGTTTCAGAAGCCGTGATTAATGCCGTGTCGGGTCTTCTGTTGTGATGTGGTTAGGAGATAGTACCCGTGCCCTGCCATCGCCCCTTTCCCACCCGCTCACAGCCGGGGCTGTCATCAAGCAATTCCATTCCTGATCGTCCACCACCAGGTTTCGGTGTCGTCCCGCTCAAGTCTCTGTGGCGTAAATTTTACATCTCACAATATAAACTCTCTGCCTGGAGGGAAACTGTTTACAGTTACCTGCTTAGGAGGTTGACGAAAGGTTTTAAAAATTCTTTGTTGTTTCTTAAAACGTGAATACTTCTAACGTAAGGGGCTTTTCCAGCCTTTGGACGACCAGCTCCTTCCCCTCCAAAACCAGTGGGAGTTTGATTGAGCTCCAGGTACTTCCAATAACATGCTGCCCACCTTTAAGATATTTTTTAAGTAGGCGTTACTGTGTCTAATCAGATATTTATAATCATTTGAATGTTTTTTTTACAGAGTGGCCTAGTGTGTATGTGAACCAGCTGTTTTTCCATGCAACCATTACATGTGGGTTTGTTTTTTTTTTCATCTGTTGGGAATTGTATTTACCTCCAACCAGACCGTTCATCGCTCTTAGTTTGGAGCCACCTGCACGCTGCACGGCCACGCTCAATCCGAATGCTATTACCTGTTAAATCATTAACCATAATGAGAAAAGTTGAGGAGGCAGGGGTGGGAACCAAGAGGATAATCTGGACTTTAGTTTGGGTACCAAAACTAGTTGATCTGTTTTAATGTTAATAAAAAAAAAAAAAAAGAAAAAAGAAAAAACAAAAAAAAATAAAAGCTTGCACCAAAGTCACCAAAGAACCTTTAGGAAAATGTTACGGTTGTGACAAGAAATAAGGAAGTTAATTTCACTGTTTTAGGTGATTCCCCCTTGAGATAAAACCAC